TCCAGCCCTGAAAATGTGAGTTTTCAGGTCACAAGCGGTATAGGCAGGTAAGTGACCCAGTCAAGTCCCTGGATGTTCAGACTCCCTATGCTCAGTGAGTCATCTTTAGGGCAGAGGAAGAGGTAGCAGGTGTTGGGGGCACACACAGCTCACTCTGATGGGGAAGGTAGACCATCAGCTAATGATACCCTGGCACCTCTTCACCAAGCAAGAGGGATTCACCCTCTGGGAAAGTATCTGTCCCAGGTTCTGCCCCTCAGGGAGGGGGTTCCCCTTTCTCCCTGTCAGGTTTGGGGTCTTGGGGAAGGGGGAAATCATTGCATTTTAGTTACAAAACTACACACAGCCCACTGAAGGTCCTCACTAAGGAGACCGAGAGCTGACACTCGGGGGTTTGAAAGCCTAGCCTAGCTCACACACCATGGATACAGAGAGGACTCCACCCGCCCTAAGTCCTGGGACATCAAATGGTGAACCCAATGACAGGGACTCTCCACAGAGGGAATGACATAGGAAGCCTTTCAGGAAGCATCACACACACTGTAATGAACAGGTCTCCTACAAGAGCAGGGTCCAGATGACACAGAACTGATAACGGTAAAAACCTAAGTGCACTGGCCAAAGTCCAGCTTCCTGCACCCAAAGGCAAGACAGGTCTCCTCAGCCTCCTTGACTCAAGCCTCTGCCCACCACCCCTCTCTGTAGGGTCCTTCAGCCTAACCCGGATCCTTTGCAGACCCGATCTAGGTCTGATGAGCCACATCTCAAGCTATTTCTGATGTCTACAGAGCAACCCTTGACCTTGTTCTATGGCCCTGCCAGCTCTTAGGCTGGGTTCCTCCTCAACTGCACCCTCGTATCCATGGGGCTTCTCTTTCGTGAATGCAGTCAATGGTCCCAACTGCCCCGGCTACCGAGGCTCTCCATTACAAGACCACTGTACCACATGCTACCCCTCGGCCACAGGGCTGGCCCTGTGGATTTCTAGAAAGAGTAGTAGCAGAGCAGAGCATATGTGGTCATATGAGCCTGGAGGCCAGCAGGGAATCAAAGCCACTGAGTAACCCACAACATTCTGTAAGCCATAGTCTGATGACAATGTGGCCAAAGGTGGCATAGGGTTTAGCTTCAATTTAAGAAGACCCACTTCAAATCCAAGCTTCATAGGCCCCTTAGGTCTTTAAATTTTAAAAGCTGGGAACACCTGCCCCTTAAGTCACTAACACTTTGCGTGGCAGACTCAGAATCTTACGAGTCAGCTAAAGTAGGTCGAGGGCCAGAGTGATGATGGGTGGTGCCTCCCTTCCAGCCACTATCACTTTGATTGAGTCCTAGACTGTCCCACTGGTTTCTCTCTAGTGTGTCCACATATGGGACAGGCAGATCTGGGAAGAAGAGGAAAGAAGAGAATATCTGGAGAGATGGATGCCAGTGGGGGAGATCCTGGCACCCAGGAGGCTACAGAGCAAGAACATTTCAGCCTTGAAGTGTCCTGTCCTGGTGACGCATCCACCTACTGCAGCCTGGCCTGGTCTGGCTGGCCAGACAAGACTCCCCTAAAGTCCTGGGCCACTAGGATTCCCGATGTGGCTCCAGCTCTTTACCCTCGGGTAATGATGGAGGAATGGTCATGAGAGGTCCTCACAAAATGAAAATGAGGGAAAAGCAGATGTGACACATTGGATGGGGGGGGTACCAAATGGATCTCTAACCCCTGCACCCTCCCTGGACCACTGAAGCACAACGCACTTGACCTCAGGTGGCCTCTGTGTCTTGGTCTCTTGACCCTGGAAACCTTCCCAGGTTTGTTCAGTCACCAATACCCTACATGGCAGCGATATCAGGGCCCCTAAGATGAGCTAGCCCCTGGTTGATTGAGGACACAGACCTGAGCCCTGTGATAGGGCAGTGGGCAGCCTCTGCGAGGAGCTCAGGGTTTCAGAGAAGCCCTGGTCCCAGGCCGGGAGAAGAGCACTGTATATCCCCAGCCTGGACTCCTGTCTCCAAGACGCTGACCATCTACAGGTCTTGGCTTCCTCAGCAGTAAAGTAAGGTCTGGGAAAGCCAAGGGGACAGGGAGGACATTTAACCTTTGCCCCAGACAGATCACCACCAATGTTTGGGACTAAGCAGCCTTCCAATCTGCCAGCTATTGCAAGGGGGAATATCTAGGACAGGAGTGAGTTTGAATCTGCAAAAAAAATCTCCCCTTGCTCAAGGGTCTCACTCTAAGCAACTAATGTCCCCACTAGTCTAAGAAATGGATAGTCCCTAAAAATTCACTTTGCCTCTTGGCCTCTGTTTGCTCACCTATAAAATGGGAATAGCCAAGAAATGGCAGCTTCTACTGCTGTTATGACTACACTCCAACAATAATTATACTGGATAAAATAGTAATGTTATTGAAGTAGTCACTTGATTCCACATCCCTCCCAGCCACTCTACCCCAATGATCTAGGACAGAAAATTTTTTTTCTTTCTTTCTTAGTTTTTCTAAACAAGGTTTCTCTGTGTAGTCCTGGCTTTCCTTGAACTCACTGTGTAGACCAGGCTGGGCTCAAACTCAGAGATCTACCTGATGAACCCTGAGCCGTGGCCCCTCACCACTCCTAATTTTTGTCGTCTAGGGGACGTTTGCCTCCTTAGGCAGGGACTGACCTCCCCAGAGACCCAGATGGAATGTACAGGTCTGGGGGCCTGACTTGGGGGAGGGATAGGTGGACAAGAAGTTACGTACTCTGTCAGAACTGGGGGGAGGGGCCCTGGTGTAAAGTCAGCTGTAAAATGTGAGCTCCGTCTTTCCTATCAGACACCTGGTAGTCACTCTGAGCACAGAACCTCTCTCTAAAACACAATGTCCTCATGCTGTCTGTGGAGGGACTAAGTCTGGCCTGATGGACTTGAAAGGAGTTGAGAGGGGCTGACTGTCACCCATATCCCACGTACATGCTCCTCTGTGAAGGACATCCTATCAGAGCCCAGAGATCTGAAGCAAGGTGAGCAGGACAGTTGTAGGACAAGAGGTACCGGCTCTCAAACAGCCCAGTACCCAGTCCAGGCTTCCAAGAGTTAAGACCCACAGCAAAAGGGGGAGGCAGGGTCAGTGCTGGACAGGCAGGCCCAGAGCCCAGGGCCTGCCTCCCCTCCCCCTCCCCTAGGAACAGAGGCCACTTGTTTGGGCATTGGCGGCTGGCTTTGAGCTCAGCCAAGAGAGTGGAGTGGGGAAGGAGAAGCCCTAGAGAATGTTAGAGACAGAGGTCCTAGGCCTGGATCACCACCAGCCAGTTCTCTGGTCTCCCGCTCCCCACTGCCCTCTCCTTGAGGTCTGCTTTTCCTTCACTGACATGGGGAGGATTCAGACTGGCCTGACTCTTGCTTTAGCAGTCTGTCCTTGGAATGTGAAGCCAGGCTAATCACCCCAGCCTCAGAGGTGGAAAGGGGACTCTGAAAAGGACGGAGAGTGGCAAAGTCACACAGGGCTTGGTAGCAGTGCTGGTATTCTGGATGCCTATACCCCCTCATCAGAGACATCCAAGGAAACCTGTCCCGGGCCTTGCCATTACCTGGAACTGAAAACCAGGCTGGAAGGCACTGCAATCTGTAGCCCACATCTGAACCCTGAAGTCTCACAGAACATGGGGACTTGGATGAGGAGGGAACTTGGCGGGGAGCACCTTTGCACAAAAGCTGGTTCTGTGTGTGTGGTGAACTCTGCATCGTGGGGGCCAAATACGGAGGCCTGAACGTCCAAATGAAACCTGGAGGCGCTGGGGCCATCTCCTCCTCATAGCCAGCAGTAGCCTGTCTGGGACAGCTCACGTGTGCCCTATTCCAGTGAGCAAATGGCCACCGGGAGCAGGGTGCCCGGGCCGGGTTCTAAATAAACTCTAGCCAAGCATAAATCCCAAGGATGAGTTCTCTGCACATTCCCCCTGAACCCCTTACAGCCACACCCACCTCCCTTGCCTTTCCTCCGGAAAGGTATCAGTATCCCTGCCGCACAAGCTCTGCCTCACCTTGTATCATCTTTGCAAACAGCCACTTAACTACCAAGGCTCATTCACACATCCTCTCCTCCCCAGATCTATACCTGTCCACGCCTGTCTCTGGGTTCTGCTAAATTCCTTCTACCCTATAATGACGCTGCGAGGATTCTAGGCTTCCCCTAGCAGGACAATCACAGCTTTCCAAGTACAGGTATCAGGGTCCCCTGAACACAGCGGCAGTCAAATCCTTACCTGGGCATCCGCAAGTCCAACCCTGAATCTTTGTACCCCCAGTCTAGGCATTAGGGAAGGTTTCCCCAAGACACCGGATTTACAGAAACAGGGCAGACACCTACTGTGCTGGCTCCTAATCACCCAGCACCCAAACCTACCCACGGAGATCTGTGTCCAAACACCTACCCCGCCGCCTCCGCCTCCGCCTCCTCCCCCGCCCCCCACCCCGGCTGCACTGCAAGCCTGCTCTAAGCCCATCCACCCACTCCCAGCCTGACCCCATTCAACGAACACACCCCTTCTTTCCTGGCAACTGGGCCAGGTAGGCTCTAGAGAAACCATGCCCCCATTAACTGGTGGGGAATTGAAGTGCAGAGGACGGAAGTAGCCTGCCCAAGGTTACCAACGCCTCAGATCCAGGGCTAAAGCCCTAAAGCTTTGCGAGGCTGTAAAAATGTCCCGGGTTGACTAGGTAGGAGTCTTCATTTCTTAAGTGGGAAAGCCAAGCTGCCTGACGTTACTGGCTCCGAAGCCTGCAAGCCCGAAGGCAGAACAGATGACGGCTGAAAGCTGGTATCCACCAGCTCACCTTCTCTGTCCCTACGGGTCTGGCTGGACGACTCCACCTCCAGAGGCGACCCCACTTCACTTCATCCCCAGGCAAGAGCGCACACCAGATGACCCCGGGAAAATTGAGCCGGGCCTCACCGTTCCCTTCTGAGGAATGGGAGCAATGCAGGCCACAACTGGCGATTGGGAAGTCCCAGCAACCTCACTGACCTGTTTTGAACGAAGAGAACTCCACGAGGTGGGATTCGGGGTCCCGGTACCGTCTGTCACACGCGGCTGCAGCCAGCTCGCGGCAGCGGTCCGGGCGCGCCCACCTCGCCCGGCGCTTCCGCCCGCCCCACGTGACACCCGGGGGACGTGAGGGCGGGGAGCCCGCAGGGAGCCGGCCGGTCCCGCCCCCAGCCTAGTTCGGATCCTCAGTACCCTAGGCCAACCGGCCCGCCGGGTTTGTGTCTCTCCTTTACCCTTAGCTTGCTAAGGCTTTGAGACTCGTGCCTACCCTACCCGTTGAGACTCCACGGATCCTTGAGTCTCCTTGTCTCCACACCCCGGTTCTGGTGAGTCTACCCTCTGGGAGAGGACACACACACAACACATATACACACACACCACTGGAGGTGAGATAACCACCTTCCCTCTGCACCATTCTTAGAGAGTACTCAGCTTCTGTCCCAGGACCACATCTCCTTGCAGAAGGCGCTGGGGAAAGTCCCACCAGAGTCTGGCAGCGGTTCACCTCCTCCCCATACAGATGAAATTCCCAGAGTTGGCAAGCGTTTCTGCGTCCCGAGGCCAGGGCTCCTCTGGGACCAGCCAAGCCAGAGGCCTTAATTTAGCTGGGCTTCCATTTTTCCATAGGAACAGTGGGCGTATTTGGAAGAACAAGCTTTCAGCAGGGTAGGTCAAGGGGGTTTGTCCTGAGAAGAGGAAGATCGGAGAGCCTACTACATGCCTGGTCCAGGGATGAGCAATTTGTTCTGTTTAATTAAAAAAAAAAATGCTCATACTTGCTTAAGGGTAAAAATTATCACCCTAGGTTATGGGTTAGGAAACGAGAATCTGGGCCGGGCGGTGGTGGCGCACGCCTTTAATCCCAGCACTTGGGAGGCAGAGGCAGGCAGATTTCTGAGTTCGAGGCCAGCCTGGTCTACCGAGTGAGTTCCAGGACAGCCCAGGCTATACAGAGAAACCCTGTCTTGAAAAACAAAAAAACAAAACAAAACAAAAAGACTAACTCTGGGACACTGGGCATCCCTTGGGCAGCAGAGGCAGCCCAGGCTTCCCTCTAGATCTCAGAGCAGCCAGGCATAATACGAGGGTTGGCACCTGGTCAGAGGGCCCCACGATTCCTGTGATCATTCTAAGGTCTTTAACACTAAGTGCAGTGGGAGTGTCTTCACCCACCCCTCTCCCTCCTCCAGCACACAGCGGCCCACCTCAGTTCTGAGGCCTTCAGCCCTGGTCTCTGACCTATGGGTCCCCCCCCCTTCCTTCTGTGATGACAGGAGCCAGAATATGCCAGAACAACTGTTTAAAGTTAGCTTGGACCAGAAGTCTGGTACACAGTAGAAACCTGACCTCTGGCTAGACCAGCTCCTTTTAAGAGCCCTGGAAAATGAGCAAACCACCTTTGTGACCAGCAAAATGAATGGGCACACAGGACAGGAGGAGGCAACAAGCCCCATCCTATGTTACACAAGATACCTATAGGAACAGAGGTCCAGCGAGCAATAATAGTATTAAAGAAACTAACTGTAGAACAGAGCAGCGTGGTGCTGGGCAGATGAGAAGCTGGCACAAAGAGCTGGCTGGGGCTGTGTGGTTCATTTATTGGGGCCATGTCCAGCCATGCTGCAGCCACCTGAGCAGGAGCCCAGTGCCCCTAGAAGGCAGGTGGAGGAAGGGAGGAAGTGCAGAAGGCTCAGTGCCCCGGGGTGGCACCCAGGTCCTGTCTTGGTCCTTGCAGAGAGGTGGTACTCAGGTGAGCGAGGTGTCATCGTCGCTGCCCTCTCCTCCCGCACCTCCGGCTCGCTCCTCACGGCTCTCTGTCACCGAGCTCTCGTCGATGTTCTCCAGTGAGTCTGCGTGTTGCACCGACAGCTCAGACAGCGCCAGGCTGGGCAATGGGCTCTGCTCCGGGTGCAGCCATGGCTTGAAATGTGGCTGGTGTTTCTGCTTCCACTCGGGGTACTTGATGCAGGCCTTGTACATCTTCTTCATGGCCTGTAGACCATCCGAACACTGTTAGGGGTGCCCGGAGAGCCACACCCTTCCAGAGCCCTCCTGTGGTGCACAGTAGTCCCCAGTGTCCCAACTACACCTATGGCCATTTGTAGACCTGGTCTATCAGCCATCACCCAGTGTTAACTCTGCCCCTGCCCTACTCCTCAGTGCTACCCGCCCCTCCCCCCATGTCCCAGAGCACACAGCCACTTACCTTGGGGGCCAGGAACTGAGATGACTTATTCACCACCCACTTGGGTAAGGAGCCTGTGGGGGCAGGGAGAGGCCCTTAGGCACCCAGCCCCACCCACTGCCAGCCCTCCTCCCTCTTCAGAGTTTGTGGGGAGGCCACCCCTTTTCATTCCTTCTCAATGAAGTTCTCAAATTCCCCAAGCTCATCACTGCCACCACTGTCTCTCTGTTGAGCTCCAGCTCAGAGAAGAAAACCACAGGGTTCTAGGTAACCGCAAGTAACCTGTGGGTTGACATTCTGACCCACCAAGCTCCAGCCTGTCACCTCCCTCTCCTCACACTAATAACCCAGGACTATCCCTGGTGCTCAGCCTCTCTCCTGTCTGTCCTGCTGGGCCTCCTCAGATTCCTTAAGCCCAGCACTCCAGTCTAGCCTGCTCTGGAATCCATAGGCCAGCTCTCCACCTGTCTCCCTCCCAAGTGCCTGCTCTGTACACACAGAACACTCATTAAAGGCTGGGCGCTCTGACCTGGGCCATGGGGTATTCCTGTCTATGACAGTCCTGTCAGTGAGGTTTAACCATCCTTTATTTATGTGTTCAGTCACCAACTCACTTCACATTCTGTGACACCCACCCTGGACCTGCCTGGAGAATCACAACAGGAATTCAGTGTGTGGCATCTCGACACAGACTGGTGTTCTGCTGGAGGGGCATGGGCCTTGAAACAGGGAGCAGGCCCTCACTAGGTGTACTGGTTGGTTTTGTGTCAACGTGACTCAAGCTACAGTTATCACAGAGAAAGGAGTCTCCCTTGAAGAAATGCCTCCATGAGATCCAGCTGTAAGGCATTTTCTCAATTAGTGATCAAGGCGGGAGGGCCCCTTGTGGGTGGTGCCACCCCTGGGCTGGTAGTCTTGGGTTCTATAAGAAAGCAAGCTGAGAAAGCCAGGGGAAGCAAGCCAGTAAGTAACATCCCTCCATGGCCTCTGCATCACCTCCTGCCTCCTAACCTGCTTGAGTTCTAGTCCTGACTTCCTCTGATGATGAGCAGCACTGTGGAAGTGTAAGCTGAATAAACCCTTTCCTCCCCAACTTGCTTCTTGGTCATGCTGTTTGTGCAGGAATAGAAGCCCTGACTAAGACACTAGGGGAATCAGGGACAGAGGAAGGGTCACTTCCTGGATCCCTGGAGCACTGAGTAAGAAGCGGAGGTGCAGGGAGCTAGCTGAGGACAAAGGCTGGGTGGACATGGAGGTGGGAACTGAAGAGTGTGCGGGGCTAGAACTCCCTCTTCCCTGCCCTGGGCAGGGGGCTCTGGCTGGACTCAGAGGGCAACAGAGTCACAGTGGCATTTTAAGCAGGTGAGTCAGAGGAAGTAAAGTGTTGCTTTTATCTCCTCTTGTTTGGACAAACAATGTGGCTGAGTACCAGAAGAATGACAGGCTGGAGCTATCAGGGTGAAAAGGTGAGAACAGGGGCTGAGCATGTTAGCACGGGCCTGGAATCCCCAGCACTCAGGAGACAAAGGCAGGATGAGTTCAAGACCAGCCTGGGCTATACAGAGTGAGTCAGAAGAAAGGGAGGGAAGGAGGGAGGGAGAGACTAAGTACTGGATTTAGGAGCTGACAAGGAGAAGCTGGGCAAGTTCTTACCAGGGGGAACCAGAAAGCAAGCTATTGATCTGAAGAAAGGTGAGTCTAGGAAGGGGAGTGGTGAGTTCACAGTTGGGTACAGCAAGTCTCAGGTGTCCAGAAGACATCCTGAGAAAGATGTCTAGGAGGCTGACCTCCACAGAGATGAGGGCTCAGCTGTCATGGATGTGACAGCTTGGAAAACTCAGGCCTCTGGGGTGTGGCTGAAGGAGACTCAGCAAGAGCAGGTCCAAGGTAGGAATGCTAGCACCAGGAAGGCAGTTCCAAACTCCCAGGAGGAGCACTGGCCTCCTCATGGGTCCATTCCTTTCAAACCACTGGCTTTGGATAGAGATCCCTCCAGGTCTAAATGGCTCCTAACAGATGGTCTAGCAGATCAAGTTTATTCCCTGTACAGAGAAGGAGCCCACTGATGGGCTGCAGGGCCAAGCCCTCACCTTTGGGGTCCACTTGGGCCAGGTAGGTGATGACGCAGCTCTTGGGCCCCGTGCTCTGGATGAGGTAGCCCGTCTGGATGGACACAGCTCGGACCAAGTCTTTCCGAGGTGGGTATTTCTGGGGATGGAAGGCACAAGGAGGTGAGACTTGGGTAGGGACAGAGGCAATGTCTCTATAAGGTACACACAAATACACACATACACGCACACACACACACACAAACCCATAGCTGTTCACATTTCTTGACAACTGTGTACGGCCGACCCTAATGTGAATTAAGAAAAAAATAATCAGGCCAGGTCATCCTTGCCCCATGTTACTGTGCTTTCTCTGTGCCATTAGGAAAGCGCCAGGCTGTGTCAGGGGTTGTGGAGTGTTCGTGGGCACTGAAGCCTTGCTTAGGCCAACTAAGCCTGCCTGCCTTCTCTGCCCAGGGACCTGTCTTCTAGTTCCTGATAACCCATTTATAGGCCAGCCTCATCCCAAGGGCTAGTCAACCACATCAGTTCATCCCACCCGCTCACCACAGAGCCAGCCCACACTACCCTTTCCCTGAGCTACTTGACAGTCCCCGAAGGGAAGTCATTATCCTCAATACTCAGGAAGAGAACCAGCCCCCATGCCTGCCTGAAGTCACTGGATAGCCACAGCCCAGCCCTGCCCATCACTCTTCTGCACACCCAGGGGGAGGGCAGGCCAACTCACAGGGTGTTTCACTGAGTAGTTCATAATGATGTAATCAGCGCCCATGGGGAGCCAGGAGCGGAGGGTGATGACATCACGGTTCTTCAGGGGCTTGGGACATCTCCCTGTAGAGGGCAAGGAACAATTCAG